GGGAAAAAGCATGAAGGTGCAGCTGGGCAGATTTTCATTTTCATTTAGAAAGTAGCATAGAGGGGGTCAATTAAGTGTGAGAAATGAGGGCATCAAGTGGAGAGAAGGGGGAAGACCCTCAATCCCCAGATTAATATAACATCAAAGAAACGAAGCTCTTCATAACAACCAGCCTTTGACTTATTTTCACACAAAAACACTGAAAAAAGCATGGTACCTTGCAATGTCCTTTGCAATTTGTTCATTGGGGCAGTTGATGAAAGCGATGGAGTGGGCGCCAGAGATGTAGCTGCCAGTGACTGCAGAGTGCACCTGGAGGGCCAGACTTTTCAGCACTGGGTACATCAGCAAAGACAGAGACATGGCCTAAAATGCAAAAGGCAGGGTAAATAAGGTTAGTAAAATGAGCTCCCCAAATGCTAGTTTTGTAAAAAAATCAGCATTTACAGACACAAGACTCGAGTCTCCCTACTGGAATAATGCTAATTGTTTAACCAAATCAATGTTGAAACCACATAAACGTCCCCAGAGTGGGTTTAATGCAGTTTTGCAAGACTTTGTACAGAGGAAATGTAGAGAATCAGGTCTCTGCTAGAAGGAATTGCTACTTCTCTATTGCTGTCAAGCTGGGAGGAGCGCGCACAATCCTGTCTGCACTGGAGGGAACATCTGGCACCGGGTCCAGCTCAACACGAAGCGGCTTTGATCCAGAGGTTGGAAGCAAAGCGAGAAAGAAGCAGCGTGCTGTAAACTTGGACTCCAACTCAGTCAACATATGGATCTGTGAAACCTGTAACAAGCTGTGTCACTCTCGAACTGGCCGTGTCGGCCACAAATGGATTCATCAGGCATTCAATTAGACCTCTTACACGTACGTCATGATCCCGAGGACTGACGGTTTCCTGCTGTCAAGAAGAGTACAAGCATATTTCCAGCACTGGACCCTGTAAATCATACACCCGGCGTCTGCAGCTATTTCTGTTACAAGAACTGATCGAAAGAGCAAGTAAACTGGAACCTGGCTCCCCCACTGTTCAGCTGTTTGTTCAGCTTTGTGGGCCAAATTTCCTCTGGAGTAACTGCATCTGGTTCATGGAGCTACTCCATGAATACATTTGGCTGAGTGTATTTGGCAAAGTTAGAAGGACATGGTCAACCTCACCTAAAACTAAAAGAAAGGTTGCCAAAGGTTTTGAATATTTTCAGTTATATCTCCGTTGCAGAGTTTGAAACCCAAACAGTTCAGCACTGGGAACCTGGAAGTAAAATGGAGCATGAATGTTACTTAACAAGTCAATCTGCACCTTTATCAAGCTGGTGAGGGTTCAAGTGGGGCATTCAGAATTAGAGGAAGCTTTTGAAACCATTTGGGGCTCCGTGACTTGTCCGAGGTCACGCGGAGAGTTAGTTACTCCTGGTGTGGGCATGGAAACCAGCTTTTCCAGCTCTCCATCTGGTGCTTCATGGTATAGGATGAAATAACAGCTAACAACAGCCAGCAAGGAGAGGCAGCTTGAGTGACAGACCCTGCTAGTCTGCAAGCGGAGTAAGTCCAGCCAGCGTGGTCCTGGCCTTGATCTGGGATTAAGCATGTTTGTTCATTCCTGATGCTGCCCGGTTGGGGGGCTTGCCCCATGGCTTTCGAAAAGGGGTCTGCACTGGCTAGATGGTTTGCAAGGGGGGAAGGAGTGGGTGGGAAAAGACACTGCCGGAGGGTTTGATGGTTTTGTTGCCTGTGAACATGTTTTGAAAATGCTTGGCACCGAGTCCCCGAAGGCCAATTGTAGGTATAAGGTCAGACAACTCTGAAGGAGTCGGGGACAGGTTCCAGGGTGCAGGGAGAGACTCCATCAAGGAGAAGGAAATCCCTTCTCCTCTCCCTCCCATTCAAACCGTGCATCCTTCATATCCCGGGAAAGCCTGCTTTTGGTGACAATGATGTTGGTGCTGCGTTCTGGTTTCCAGGGCCAGACGAGGACACGGGTCCTCAAAGGCCCCAGCTTCTTGTCCAGGGTTTTGGCATCTTATAGTTCCTTCTAACTGCAAAATCTGGCATCCACGGCTATGAAGAAAAGCTTGAAAATATCATTTTCAACATTCATTTTCAACGTTCATCATTTCAAATGCAATGACATCTGTTGCCGGAGTCTGGAGAGAGCCCGTGGCCAAGCCTCTGGGAGAAGAGTGAGCTCTGGGTGCCAGAAAGAGAAGGATGCATTGGATCCAGCCTAGCCACCATGTCAATATATACCTTCTCTGTCGTGGCAGACACTGGGGAGATCGCCTTTCCCTGCCTCGATGAAATCTATGAACCAACGTTCTGCCTTTATTCGTAGTTTATTAACAACTAGGTGCTTTTATGCGGCACCACCTAATTCCTGCCGAAAGTCATTTATAATCTTTATAACCTATAATACTGAAACTCCACAAACACTGCCACTTAAGTATTTGTTCAGAAAAAAACATCTTTGCACGGAGGAGCATCGCCTCTCAAGGCTTTGTGAGATTTCATCAGCCACATTTAGAAAAGAAAGAGACTCTGCTCCCTCTTTTCACTTCACCTTGAAGTGCAACAGTAGATGCGTCTCAAGAGATGCTTCCCTTTATATCATGTTGTATCTGGCTCTTGCACTTCTAAAGTGATAAAAGGATTTTCATAAGACTAAGGGTACAAAGCGTTCCTCCCCCCTCATCCCAACCCTCCTCCTGGCCTCAGAAAGACCTTGCGTTAATGGGCAAAAGTTGTGGGCTTTTTGTTTTCCGTATGATTTACTGTAACAGGGTCTTTTTCTCCCCTCTTAACTCTGCAGGAAAATTATTGATTCTTTAATCTGACTTATCTCCTCCTATTCACTCCATTGTAATGTGTTTCACCCCAGGAAACATCGCTGGTTACTGTAGGGTTACAGTCAGTACTTCTTAGCACTTCTAGTACTCTTAAGGCTTTTTAAAAACAAGAACTAACTAATCCTAAATGCTGCATTGCTGGTTATGAGACAAAAGGAGGACAGTGTGGTCACAGATGCCGTATCTTCCAAAGAAGAGCAGTATTTCAGCCCCTGAAAAAAGGCATACCTTGTTCTGTTCATCAAGGTAATTATTAACTGTCAGGAAGCTATTTGTGCATCGCATGAGGCTATCCCTGTGAGCAACAAATAATGCAAGCTTTACAGCTCCCCTCACTTTCTCTGACAGCAATCAATCATTAAATTTGGTGCTTCTGCAAAGCTGTTTTGCCTCGGGCTGGTGCAAGAAATAATGGACTGCAAACTCTGAGTGTGGTGGTTTGAAGCCTGGAGCCTGAAATCCAACACCGCAGAAA